AAAAAAAAAAAAAAAAATCCTGACCAGCTAAAGCTAAGCTAAACTGAGCTGCTGATTCCTCTAAAGAGCTCAAAGGAGGATAATGGTAATGTGTGGTAGAGAAATGGAGAGAGAGTTTTTGCAGGAGGGTGGAAAGGGGGAGAGTCCTGCAGGCACTTTCTGTCCTTGTACCTATTCCTAGTGACGCCAAATGGAACTGAAATAGGTATAAGCATGCTTATCCCTAGACCACAAAAGATTAAAGCACAAAATCTCTGCCCAGACTGGGTATTATGGTGCAAGTTTGTGATTCCAGCAACTCTAGGAGGCTGATAGAACTTTTTTTTTCCCCCCCTGAATTACATCCCCAGTTCTTTTTGAGACAGGGTCTCACTAAGTTGCTGAGGCTGGCCTTAAACTTGTGATCCTCCTGCCTCAGCCTACCAAGTAGCTGGGATCACAGACATGCACCATCACATCGAGCTACCCAAGACTCTTAAATGCTTTTTAAAGTTACACAGGCCCAGGCATGTCCTCTGAAAGGGCAGACCAGATACTGATATTTTCAATCCTAAAGAATTTTCCAGGGCTTACCACTTGTAACCTAGTGACTGTGACTGGCCAGTTCCAGGAACAGAGGGGTAGTAGAGTACAAAGTGTATCAATCAAGGATCAGAAGATGTATATGAACAGGGCATGGTGGTGCATACTGTAATCCCAGCAATTTGAGAGTCTGAGGCAAAAGGATCACAAATTCGAGTTGTGAGACCTCACAGCAACTTAGCAAGACCCCGTCTCAAAATAAAAAATAAAAAGAGCCAGGTGCAGTGGCGCACACCTGTAATCCCAGCAGTTCTGGAGATTGAAACGGAAGAATCGTGAGTTCAAAGCCAGCCTCAGCAACAGAGCCAAGGCGCTAAGCAGCTCAGTGAGACTCTGTCTCTAAATAAAACACAAAATAGGGCTGAAATGTGGCTCAGTAGTAGAGCACCCCTGAGTTTAATCCCTGGTAGTAGTAGTAGTAGTAGTAGTAGTAATAATAATAATAATAATAATAATAAATGAGTAAATAAATAAAACGAGCTGGAGCTATAGCTCACTGGCAAAGCACCCCTGGGTTCAATCTCCAATACCAAAAAAAAAAAAAAAAAGTAGATGAGTTGAAGCAAGTTGGAATTTTGTCATTAAGTTTCTGAGTGACTCATCTCACCTGGGACTCTCCCCTGCCTGAAAGGATTCTAGGATTGCACCGATGTGAAATGATTTACAGATCAACAAGCCTGAGATCATTATTACTAGCAGTGAGAATAACTATCATGAGATTGGGAAGGAGCCCCAGGGTTACTCAGATCCACCAAAACTTGCAAAGTAGGACTAGGGAGGGAGAAAGCAGGGGAGCTAAATCAACCAAATGATGAAAACTCCAAAATTGGCTGATTTCCTGTGTGATTTTGCAGAAATCACTTCACCTCTCTGAGCCTCAAGTTTCTAATTGATTGAAAACTAAAATTACCCTGCTCATAGTATTCTAGCTGCTCATAGTATTCTAGGTATTTTTAAGCTTATCTCCTGGTCCAGGACTACTTCAAAGTCCTTTTAAGTGTGCCTAGAGGCTGATGATCTAAGTTTCAAAGATCTAACAAACTGAGGGAGGAAATGGTCATTGTTTGCTCTGTCAGCCTCAACTGGACATGAAGCTGCTAAAGACCCAGAGACTGACTTTTCTAGCTTGCTGAGAGTTGAGTAATTTTCCAGAAACAGAACTTGGCTAGTTTCCCTGTGTAAGGTACCAGCCCATCCCACTTACATAAGAAAGTATTGTTTGTTCTCCCAGAGGATTCAGGAGGCCAGCTCTTCCACGGGGCGGGGCTCAGGAGTCTCAGAGGCTCAGTGGCAGCCACAGGGATCAAGGGGCTTTGACCCAATGTGCGTGAGAATTAAGGCACATTCAGTGGAGGCATAGCCCCAGCCAGGCATGAGGCGGGGTTGCAGGGTAAGGACTGTGCATCTGTGAATGCCACTGTACTGTGGGTCCTATCAGAGTAAAGTAAGTATTCTTTCTTTCTCTCTCTCTCTCTCTCTCTCTCTCTCTCTCTCTCTCTCTCTTTTTTTGTGGTCCTGGGACACTATACATTGCATTACACCCCCAGCCTTTTTTTGAGACAGAGTCTTGCTAAATTGTCCAGGTTGGCCTCAAATTTGTAATCCTCCTGCCTCAGTCTCACGAATAGTTCAGTCTAAATTCTCCTAAACCGATTTGTGGGTATGTGAGGGGAGGGATTTAGGAGGATGCAGGGAGAAGCAATCTCATTTTGTTGTTTGTTTTGCAAGGTTGGGGATGGAACCTAGGACCTCACACATGCTAGGCAAACGTTCTACCATTGAGCTACATTCCCAGTCCCTAAAAATCTCTTTACAGATTTCCCCTCCCTTTTTGTGGTATAGGATCACTGAAAAAAAAAAAAATTGCTTGGGGGAGAGAATATTGGAGACTGAATTCAAGGGCACTTGACCACTGCCACATCCCCAGCCCTATTTTGTATTTTATTTAGAGACAGGGTCTCACTGAGTTGCTTAGCACCTTGTTGCTGTTGCTGAGGCTGGCTTTGAACTTGTGATCCTCCTATCTCAGCCTCCAGAGCTGCTGGGATTACAGGCAGGCAAGGTGCCCAGCAAAAGATTTTTTGTTTTTTAAATACAGTGAAAATGAGTGCCCTTTTCTTATTCCCCTGGGTCCCAGGCCCCTTACCCCAACGCCCAACCCTATTCTCAGGGCCAACCATTGTTAATAATTGGTACACATCCTTTCGGATATTTGGCTTGAACATTTTAAAATAAAAAACAGGACTATACTGTGCATAATATTCTACAAGCTGCTTTTTTTCAGTTATATATCATGGGTATCTTTGTATGTCCACAATATGAGAAATTCTGATTGCCCTTTGTAACAATGGTTGGCCTTTCAATCTCTCTATCTAAGCCCTTGATGATGGGCACTGAGGTTGTTTCCAGTTTGTCTGCCATTATAAATAATCCTGCAAAGATTTGGAATGTAGAAACAACAAATAAACAAAACACAAGAATCTGGATGTCTTTCTCCAATTATTTGCTTAGGAAAGATTCCAAGAAGTAGAATCTCTGGTTCAAAGGATCTGCCTAGTTAAAGTGCTTACATGTGTGGGTGATGGCCACTCAGTTCTGCCTCCCCGCAGTGGAATGTACTGAGGCAGGGTCCTGTACTCCCTTCATTACATGCAACTGTGGGCCACTTTTTCTCTCCCTCCTAAAGCTGAATATCATCATGGTCAACCCAAGGCTAATCCTCATCAATCCCTGTCTCTACAGGTCCTTATTCTTTACCCCCTCCCACTTCATAACAAGAAAACATTTCAAAACCTTTCTCTACATTCCCAATCTAATGAATCAGACATAATGAACAGAACAAGGAGCCTACCAATGATGGTGTCATGAGTCACTGGGCCCTGGGCTATCAGTCCCCACTGCAAGACAGAATCTTGCTTACCTGAAACACGTCTCCATTAACAGTAGTCCCCATGTCTTCAGAACCAGCTAGAAAGAGAACAAGCAGACAGTATCACTCATTGTTCAGCTTAGAGCAAGCATACAATGGCTCCACCTTAGCGCTGGGAGCCAATCTCTCTGTATGTTGACCCCATACAGGTAAACATAATACATACCCAAATAACTATGGCTCAATCCCTCACCTCACCCTACAATGAAGTGGTTAACCATCCATTTTACAGATTCTCAAGCACAGGCTCAGAGAGGCTACATGATTAGCCAATATCACCCAGACAATAATGCCTCCTCACCCACCTGGAGTTACTTGACCAACAGTCATGTGGCAATGGTCTGATTGTGTGTGGAGCCCATGCCTGCTGAGTGGGCGCTGAGAGGAGCACCTTAGGGGCGGGAGCTACCAGGGGCAAGGAAGAGAGGAAGCTACTCATCCGCCTGTCCTGGGGAACCTTGAGGAACTGCTCTACCTGGAAGAGCAGGAATCACAGTCCCTACTGCGCACCACCTGGCCTATTTTTACTCTCTACGCCTCTTCCAGAAGAATTTTATTTTGCCTTCTGCAGTGACCCCTCCCAGTCTTTTGTGACATCCAATTAGTCACAAATTCCTGCAGCTTTTGCTGGAACAGTGACCCTCAAATTTGTGTTCCCACTGATTCCCTGATGCCCAGCCTCAGCCAGGGACTTCACCATCTCCCTCCTGCACATCTGGTTTGATCTGTCTGCCCTGCTAGTGGCAAACACCTGGTAAAGTATAATTGTCTCTTTCTCTCCTTACCATCGTCTTCCCCAGAGCCACACATGGGATTTGTACCTTTGTAATAGTCAATAATTGGTTGTTGAATAAATAAATGAATTACTTTTTTTGTTTGTTTGTTTTCAGTGCTGGGTAATGAACTTAGGAACTTGAGCATGCTAGGCAAGTGCTCTACAGCTGAGTTACATCTCCAACCCTCTTTTTTTTTTTCTTTTCTTTTCCCCCTTCTTTTTAAGACAGAATGAATGTGTGGCTTTTGTTCATTCACTGGCTTCCCTAACTCCAGCTTTACCCTCTCCCATCCCTCTTTCAAACTCATTGCCAGGGTGGATATTTTGAAAAACATAGACTTGTTTATGTCCCTCCTCTGATTAAAAGATAATGGGAGTAAACCAAGAAGAAATCCACTTCCCCTGGACCACAGGGGCCTAAAGAGTCTGCTCCTGCTTTGGGGACTTTGCAGGTGCTGTTCCTTTTACCTAGAAGCCTTTCCTACATATTCCACATGGGCTTCTCCCTCACTCCTCTGTCTCTGCTCAAAAGTGGCCTTAAAACACATGGCTTCCCTGATCACATCTCATTCAGCCCTCAGGCACCAACTTCTCCAGTGGTATTTGCTTTAGAGCAAATATAGCCTGATAAGTTTACTCCTATATGTGTTTATTTTCTGTCTCTGCCACTTGAAAGGACCCTTCATGAGGACAGGGACTTTGTTTTATCCTCAATGGGGCCCAATATCTGGAACAGTGCACAATAAGGATTCAATAAATAATTGGTAAATAAATACATTTAACCCTGGAATACAGTTCATGAGGAGCTTTACAATCTGGCTCTGCCCTTTTATCCTGACTCACTTCCTAAAGAACCCTTTGTTTAGATCCATTCCTTCTCCAAAGTCTAGTTTACAAGTCACCTCTTCCAGGAAGCTCTCGCCTGCTACCTTGCTTCCCTCGGCACTGAGAGAAAGATCTTACCTCTAGAGTATGCCAGAATATTGCATAGCATCCCCCACTCTGTTGTGCAATTACTTGTAACCCCCTGAATCTGGGTACTCCCTTTCCAGAATGTAGCCTATCAGCTCCTAAGGACTCCTGATTAAAATAGGCAAGCAGCAACTACTGGCTAAATGAAAATTGAATTGCTCTTTAGCGGTCTACTATAATGTGCAAGGCCTCTCAGAAACAGCAATACTTCCTAGCAAAGTGCCATACGAGGGTACAGGAGGTTACTGCAGATGGACAAATAACCCTGTATACCAAATCGGGCTGTGAGCAGAAGCAATCGTGCTTTCAGCCTGAGGACTGAGATACTTAAGCCCATGGCCATAATCCTGGGTTGATATGAATTATAATTGACTTTACTGAATCAAGCAGTGACTGATTTTGACCCGACCTATGAGTCAGCTGTCACTGTCACATATTCAGATAGGATTTCTCTTGAAAATCAGCATGAGACCAGTGAAGTTTCAGAGACAGCATCTTCTGCAAAGATGCTTCTCCCGGGGCACCTCCTCTACCGGGGCCCAGCATTGCCAGGGTCCACTCACAATGATGCAGGCCTGTACTTAACAGCTTTTTGGAAAAGTTACCCCACCATCCTCCACCCTGACCAGCTCATTTAGACCTTTCATCTGCAGGTAGCTGCCTGGTACCCACCTTGGCCTCTGGAAATTCTCTCTGCCCCAGGCTCTCAGTCTTGTGAGTGTCCCTCTGGAGATGTGGTTTCAGCCTCTTTGAGAATCCACACCCACCCACACAGAGCATTGCCAGTATCTATTCCCACAATGCTCTCTGATTATTGCACATTTATTATCATGGGTCTGCAATCAGAGCCCAGCATAACAGGAGTAAAGCATATCCAAGTCCCAGGGATAAACTCCCTCGCCCATTTTGGAACAAGTTTAGAGAGGGTCCAGAACATTCCTGTGAGCTTACTGAGGCCCAGAAGGGGAAATGGGCTTGCCCAGAACCGATGGGCAAGTCACAGCCAGGCCTGCCGCCCAGAAAACTGGGTGTGAAAATGTAAACCTCTGGGCCCTGCCCAAGGCTGAGGAATGGAAACAAAGTGTCTATCACTCAGGCTGGTCACAGATCCAGCCCAGGGAAGAAGATCCTGTGGCTCAGGCTCAACCCTACACCAGATACCTCTTTCCTCTTGTTCCCCAGGGGCCTCTGGGAGCACAACATCAGGACACTCCGCATAGGGACTGCTAATCAAAGGATCCGTCATTTAAGAGAGGGTGACTACTGATTGGTGGCTGGAGCCAGCTTCTGCCCAATTCTCAACAGGACAAGGCCCATTTTCTCAGCCCCCTCCATCGCTAATCAGGGGAAGATGGCCTGTTCACTGCTGCCTTGTCTTAGAAGGGTCAGATCAGTTCTATTTATGTCTGGCCACCCACTGAGCCACCATCAGGCAACACTTCCTTGCTCCCGAGATCACCACTCAAGTGGGCAGCTGAGCATTTGTAGCCTCAGCAGGTTTGAGTTTGGGAGATGCTCAGAGGGCTGTGTCCCCTGGCAGCCACCTGGAAAAGGAGAGCACATTGCTGTTTCTCTCCCTGTCATCTCTGGTCTGAGGCCAATCTGTGGCCCCACCGTGTCAGAGAGGGAACCCTCCACCCAGGCTATAAAACCCAGGAGTCCCATCTGGGACAAGCCACAACTTCCAGTCCCTTCTGATGACCCTCAGCTGAAATTCTACCTGCCCTTTTCTCTCATGGGGTTCTGATAACATGAGGCCTCTTGGAACCAATCAGGCTACATTAGGGAATGGGCTGGTCTCAAGGAGGAAGTGTGAACAAATGAATACCATTGCATGAACTTGGGCAGGCATTTCTGAGGAATCCCCTGGGACAGGGTAGGGTCCATGCTGAAGGGCTAGGAGCCACTGTTTCAGAAGACCTCTACTGCTGGCTGGGCTCCGGTAGCAAAAGACACCTGTCTCCTCCCCCACATCCAAAGGCTCCCCACAGCATTTGAAAGAACATGAAACAAAAAAGAACAGAAACTCAGAGCTGGGAGGCCTGGAATCAAATCCCAGATTTATCACTCATGCTGTATGACTGGGCAAGATACTCTCTGAGCCTCCAGTTTCTCTTTCTTCTTCACCCTCTATCCATGTTGGGGATTGAACCCAGGACCTCATATATGTTGGACAAGCACTCTGCCACTGAGTTATATACCTAACCCTGTTTATTTTTTATTTTGAGACAGAGTCTTGTTAAGTTGCCGAGGCTGGCCTCAAACTGTGATCCTCCTTGCCTCAACCTCCCTAGTAGCTGGGATTACAGTCTGGTGAGACCCTGTCTGGCTGCTTCCAGTTTCTTGTATGTTACAAAAAGCTTGTTATATCTCTCATATCAAGCGGATACAGAGTCGCTTCAACTACTCAGCCACAGGAACTGTCTTACTCATTTCTGTATCCCCAGTGGGGCTTGGCATATTAAGTAGGTACTCAACCCATGTTGAATGAAAACAAACATGACTGTTGAAGAGCTTTGTAAATAAATAAATATCTCCAAAATGACAATAATAGGAAGCAAAATCTGTATGGGATGTACTCGTGAAGGTGATATCTACTTTTTTACTAAATATTTTAAGAAATTGTTTTTTTGAGGGGGGTCCAGAATTAGAGTAGGAACATTGTTGATAAATATGATATCACAGGGACCAGGCTATGAATCCTGAGTTCTGAAGTCAACTACAATAGCCCTGGACCACCTTTGGAAAATCATTACGTGGACAGAAACCTCTGAGGGGCAGGAACACTTCTGACTGATGCCCCTTTGTGCCCCTGACCCAACCTCAGAGTTTTTTGCAGAGCCAGGCACTTGGAAGACAGTGTGGTCAGAGGGAGGGGTTTAGCGTCTGACAGAGATGGGTTTAGTCCTTGATTTACCCTTACTAGTTGTTTCAATAGCTTTTTTTCTCTCCAATTTTTGTTATTGTTGTTGTTTTGTTGTTGTTGTTGTTGTTGTTGTTGTTGTTACTGGGGAATGATCCACTGAGGTATATATCCCTAGGCTTTTTATTTTTATTTTGAGGCAGGGTCTTGCTAAATTGCCTAGGCTTGCCTTGAACTTAATGATTCTCCTATCTATCTCAGCCACCGGGATTACAGGTGTATGTGACCATGCCCAGCTAATAGTGTACCTTTAGAGCCTTAGTTTTGCTGGCTCTGAAATGGGTTCAATAATGTGTATGGAATTCTTAAATGTAATTAACATGCCTAGCTCAGTGGCCAAGGGAAGATGTGTGGTCCCCAGGAAAGATTTGTGATTTCTCAGAGCCCCCATTATTCCCTGTTTTGCCAGCTGTGTGAAAGCTAAGGCTAGGGAACAGCAGGTCTACATTCTGCCCACACCTGCACCACTTAACTGGGAACCTGGATCACTCAGGCTATTAGAGGACTCAAGAGGGACTCTTAGAACTGGGCAGGCAATGAATTCCAGAGCCAGGCAGTGATGAAGTTGGCCTTGGAATAAAATGTCATGACCAAATTCCTGTCCCCAGAGTCAGCAGATCCCAGTCCCAGGAGAGGCCTCCTCTCATTCCCCAGCTCAGAGATCCTAGAGGTGAATCTCCAAGATTGCTCCCTAGTTCCCCAGGCCCTCTACTCGCAAACGCACACAGCCCCCCGGCCTGCTCCTAGCTGGCCTATCCAGATCCTCTTCATTCTCCCCAAGACTCCTTGGCCGGGTTTGTGAAGGGCCTGGACCACGGTCCTCGGGTGACAGGTTCAAGGCCCCCAGCTCCCAGGCCACTGCGCTGACTCACCCCCACTGGCGGGTCCCGGCTGCGCGGAGGCCACCTGACTGCCGGCAGGTGCCCCGAAGCCCTCGTCATTCTCTATGCCTGCGATCTCGCTCTCCTGCTGGGCCAGGAAGGCAGCCGCTGGGTCCTCCTCAGTCGCCTCAGGGGCCCCGCTCTCCGACGACGAGAAGAAGCCAAAGTCATCAGCCATTTTCCCGGCGTCT